GATAAGATACTATAAGCAAAGCAAATTCTTTCTTATTGACTGAAATTAATCTATAGTCCACCTCTTTTATATACTTGAAGTCTCATACAACGTAAAGTTTCCCAGTGTTCCAAATGGTAAACTGCACAATTTCAGCTGGTCAGAATCCAATAGCACTCCAATGCATACTCTAGAGTCCCCAACCTTGCCAACCAGCATCTAAACTTTCCAGGATTAGACACACGAGTTTCATCCCACTGGGGAGAGAGTGCGCACTCCATACCAGACAAATAGAAATCATACATAAATGGAACGCTGGCAAAATACTGGGAGAAGCTCCCTTCTCTTTTTAAAGAGTGGCATAAGATCTTTAACATCACCTGAACAGATAGACAGAACCTCAGCTTAGTTTACTTACATATGCTTGATTTGTAGTACTTATGAACTCCACCAGCACCACTTGGGATGTCAGCCTAGACTGTGAGTTCAAAGTCCCAACGTGGAACTCAAACCCACAACCTCCTGACTTAGAGGAGAGAGTGCTACCAACTGAGGTAGACTGACAAGGTGCCTGCATTCACTCAAGTGATAAAGTGATTTTTGATTTTTTCTCATCACTGATAATTTAAACATAATTATGCCATTCTTAAGAGCTACAAATCAAGCTTATCTGTATAAAACAAAGAACAGAAAGCATATCCATTAAAATTAATAGCACAGTACCACTTCAGCCAGTACTATTTTCTTGTGTTAATTCAAGTGACGAATAATGTAGGTGAATGGAAGGTCTTCATTTACTAAAAATTGAGCACTGAGTCATCGCAATGTCAGGTTGCCCCAGTCTTGCTCAGTAAGTTCACAGGAGTTTCTCATTGTGTACCAGCATTGGCATTGGTACAACTGATTATCCGAGGCACTGAAGTTGCAGTATTAGGTGCCAGATTCATGGAGGATTTTGACTGCAAGCTTGGACTTGTTGCAGATTGCTTCATTTCATTCCAGATCTCTAACCGCCTCACAGCAATAGAAAAAGTTTCAGGAAGATTGTGATCTCTATGTGCTGCAGTTCTTCAAATACAACAATCCTGTGGGTTAAAATCATTTCCATATTAATGATAGATCTCCTCTTTACTTAAGGATTCAGTGCTCACCTGTAGCCTCTCTCTATTTAAGTCAATGAAGTTTTGAAATAAACTTTCTCTGAACAGCACTCAACACAGCAAGACACCATAGCCTTTAGAAGAGAATCATCAATAATCTTACCATCTCTGCAATTTGATACCATGTATTTCCAGACCACACTAACTTAGCTGCTAATGTGTACCTCTGACTCCCCTTGTACAGAATCTTTAAAGAATTATCTTTTCTGCATACAGATTCACCTCAGTGAAGTTACATGTTCTGTAGAAATGATGGAGGTGTGACTGCGAAGATGTCACACCTCTCTTTCCTGTCTTAAAGTTCGGGATTTCTAGGATGATATCATCAAGATGCTCACCTTTCTCTGTAGAATCAGACATCCTGAGGTGGCTAGCATCACATTCCTCAATGCCATTCTCTAGACAAAATGCCTTTTTAGGCTAGACTTTCTAATAATAAAGAGAGTAATCCTTTGAACCTTGAACAACCAGACAAATGCTACCGCTATCAAGGGCTGGCTATGACACTAGATCAACAATGGCATGGATTAGCTTTCCCTGACAAGCAGGAAAAAAGCAAAACATAACAAAGTACTCCTCATTCGAAAGTTATTTTCAGCAGTTATAATGTGTAGAATTATATTAAGCGATGTCAAGGATTAGCCTTGGCTCTGAGTGAAGCTGGATTCCAGTAATGCATCAGTGAAATAAAACGTGAAATAATATCATTTATGTATAATATATGTGAAATTACAAATTTCAACTCAACACGACAACTGTTGCCAGCTGACCAAAAGAAAATTGTCATCGTTTTCACTCCTGTAATAGCAGTGTTAGCTTAGTCGGTAACACTTTCTGCTGAGGCATATTCTTCATCCAAACTAATCAGAGCTCTGAGATACTATCCTGCATGAAGGGCACTATATAAATGCAAGTTGCTGTTGTCATCTTGTAAAGAAGAGTTTGGCCTGGGCAAAATATCCTCTAGATCAGTGGTGGCAATCTGTGGACCGCAGGCTGGAAGGAGCTTGTTGGTCCGTCAAGAAGTGCCCCTCAAAAATTTACATGAATCTAGGTAAGTCTGTGTTTGATCAGTGAAGTGTTTTCAGTTTATTCTTCATTGAATATTTCTTGACTTATGGCATACAACAAGAAATATTAAATTAAGACAATGTATTGTGTTGGCCAATTCTAAAGTTTAGCCACCACTGCTCTAGATCAATCAATCATTCACATCAGGCTGATTGTGCGAGTTTGCTAGCGATTAATGATTTGCCTACAACTGCTTCCTGGAGGTTGGTTTGGTAACAAGAACTTGCGCCCCTCATGCAGGGTAGCGTCCCAGAGCGCTTAACAGTGGCGGAACACGAAGCCAAGCTGGGGGGCGGGAGGTAGGTGATTGGAGGTAATTGGAGGTTTTCCTCCACCTTCTCCCTTTGATTCATTCCTTCCCCCTGGCCTGCTCTGGCCTGGCCTGCTTCACGTTCCCCACCTCGCTCACCCCACTATTGACGGGCAGGCCTTCCGCCACTCTGCACCCACCCTCTGGAACTCCATCCCGCAGTCCCTCCGTCTCACCCCCTCCCTCGCCACCTTCAAGACCCATCTCAAGACCCTCCTATTCGACCGTGCTTTCAATCTCCCTGCTTCCCCCCCTGCCCTCCGCCCTCCCCCACCCCGATCCCCAGCTTGGGTCCATAACTCTGTCTGTCCAGCGCCTTGGAACGTCCTCCCAACATGAAAGGTACTTTACAAATGCAATTTTGTTGTTGTTGTTCCCTCGTTCCTTCAAGGTCCACCATGTTGACCATGTTTTTCAGGCCCTCACTCCCGCCTCAGATGCAAATCCTACACTTTCCATCGCCTTGGGATGTTCTTCCAATGTGAAAGACACTATATAAATGTAAATTTGTATTGTATAAGCTGCAAGTTCTTTCTTAATGTATATTTCTTTTTACAACCCAATCGCACTGCAACTCTATCACTCACTGAGACTTTATGTTCCAAAATCTGTCAAAGTAAAATCACATGATGTAATCAGAAGACAGGCAACCATATGAGAAAAACTGGTAGTGACAATCAAGGAAAGATATGAACTTTGATGGCAAAATTCCCAATACAAAAAAAAGTATACGTATTATAAAAAACAGATGTGTGACCCCTGCCCAACGTTATATTAGAATGATGGCAATATTCACGACTGTGTGTTATTATGAAAATATTCTCAAGCAAAAACTGGAGCCTTTCAAGGTTTTAGCAAATGAATGACAAAATATCCAGGTTTCAAGCTTCACTTGCTTTAGCTTCAAATGAACAATGGAGTGTACTTAGGATCGATTGGAATAAGATTTAAGAAGCAAACGTAGCACATTATGCATCTGTGGAATTGTTCTATGCTACCACACTAAATCAATTTACACACCCTCTTCATATTTACAATGTTTTGTTTCAATTACCAACAGTAGAAGCCTCATTGTTGCCTTTTCATCCAAAATGTTCAAGAGATAAAGTAGGAAAATAGTTGTGATACTGTCCAAATTATTGATCATTTTAATCCTCTCGTTTTAACAGTAAAATACCATATATTTAACACATAAATGGGAATGCCAATTTGTTGGACAATTTTCTTGTAAATCATGGAAGATACCAATATTGTGCGGAGTGATCAGATCTACTGTAAACCCAGCCAGTACTGAAAATTCCCACACCTGATGCCTATTAATTGGCATTACAACAAAAAAATGACATTTATCTAGCATCTTTCACGTCGGGAAGACATCCCAAGGCACTGGACCGTCAGAGTTTCGGACCCGAGCTGGGGGTCGGGATCGGGGAGGGTGGCAGGCAGGGGGGAAGCAGGATGATCGAAAGCCCGGTCAAAGAGGAAGGTCTTGAGATGGATCTTGAAGGAGGCAAGGGAGGGAGCAAGGCGGAGGGACTGCGTGATGGAGTTCCAGAGGGTGGGGGCAGAGTGGCAGAAGGCCCGCCCGCCAATAGTGGGGTGAGCGAGGTGGGGGACGCGAAACAGGCTGGAGCCCGCTGAGCAGGAGCGAGCAGGACGGTAGGGGGTTAGGAGGTCGCAGAGTAGGGGGGAGCAAGCCATGGAAGGCTTTGAAGGTGAGGACCAAGATTTTGAACTGTATTCTCTGTGTGATGGGAAGCCAGTGGAGTCTGTTGAGGATGGGGGTGATACGGTCATTACGTAACAGAATGGTGCTTAGCAGCATTAATTAGTCCCTACAGAGAATCTCTCTCAACGATGGAGCGTGTAACTGATCTCAGGGCTCAGGCTTGTAACTGATCTCAGTGATGGGGCTTGTAAATGATATTAATGATCTTTGCATTTGATATAACGCCTTGTCACATCATTGAGACGTCTCAAAGCGCTTCACAGAATTTATTGAAAAGTGGATTGACTATATTTTGTGGGCGAAACACAGCAGGCAATTGCGCACAGCAGTGTCCCACAAACAGTTATGGATTGAGTGATCAAATTACTATTTTTTGGAGGGGTTATTACCCCAGGAAAGTGATCCATTAATCGACTAACAACTGGAGTTCGTACTGACTCCTAGGTAAACCGAGTTGTGTGGAGTAAGGAAACTAAGGTTTCGCCCCGCCTGGGAATCAAACCCAGATCCTCTTATTTGCGAGACGAGCACTCTTAACCACAAGTCTCCATCTCAGTCCCTTGATCTCAGTGATGGGCTCGTAACATATGAGCAGAATGACTTGGAATGAAAACTAACACTGATGGTAAATGATGGTACCAGGTTTTTGGGAGAGACTTCAAATTAAAAGTCCACCCCTTCTCAGAGTTAGTCTCGTTAATTACATGGTTTGCAATTAAAAATGAATATATGCATTTTTACCAAAATATAATCAATTTGTACTTTGAATATTTATTAAGGTAATTCTACTAAAATAAGCACAAAGTAGTGTTACACTGGGTATATGTAGTACAACAGTAAAACAGTTGAAGATCACATTTTCAATAAAGCACATCATTTTGTCTTAAAGCATATTCTTTTTACATCTACAAAATTGCCACTAAAGTACTATTGTACTTCGCTAGCTACACAATTGGCATCCTAATCTAACATAAGATTTAAACACAGTAAATAATGAAGAATACATGCATCAGCTTTAACAGTCAGAAGCTGGAATAGTTCAGAACAAGCAGGAGGCCTGCATTTGAAGGAAGAGCTAAGAAGACATTAAAATGTTTATTAAGGTGGGCTTTCAGGCCATATTGGACACAGCAGCATACCATAACTGGTGTTACTATATGGTTCTTGTTTAAAGGGAGCAAACACAAAATAGCAAACATCCTTTTTCTCCCCACTTTTTCCTTTCAGTTTGTGCTAAGAATTTTGAAGTTTTTGTCCTTTAGCAAAAAAAAAAGCCGCTTTATTTGAGCAAACAGAATCAAACTTGGGGCAATGCAGGCACTGATTTGTACCTGATTTGACTGCACAATGATGTACAAGCCAGTTGCATTTGCTCCTCGGCTCCCAAATATTTTCATGTAAGTGGCCAAACCTTGCACTGTCATAATTGGTGCTAAGAATTTGATGGTATCAGCTATTTATTTATTTATTGATGTGATCATTCACAACAGCTGTAACTACTTGCTGAACTGTCTGAGAGAGAAAGGGAGAGCGATATGGAGCTCTCAGAGATTGGCACAGGCCTTTGGCACTGTAAGTTCCACTTTATTGACTCGGTGTGAATTCAGCATTCATCTGTTTGGCATTTTGGAGCCAATTCAAATTTCACTTGATAAACGTTAGCTCCAGTTCACCCAACTCGAGTAGGAACAGATCCTCCCGTCCAGCAAGAAGAGATACCACTAGGTTTATGACTTCACATTTTTGGCAACTTTTTTGCCATCTATCTTCTGTCAGAGAAAGTACTTCCAAATAGTTTTTTTAAAAACTGCTTTCAAATGTTTTTGTACCGCTTCACATTGTGGGTACGGCTGTAGTTTTTGCTCATTATCATCTGGCTTCTAATAATCTATTTTTCAAATTAGGCAATTTAATGGTACCAATGTGGGCAATGCCTTGACTTTACTGGTACATGCAAATTACTTTTTTTTATTTTTATGGTGCATTTTGCCCATGAAGAACATCATTCACCATAACAAAACACCTTTCTCAACCTGCTCCTGAATTTTTTTTAGACATTATTAAAATTATGAAAGTACTGTATTTAAAAAGGGGGAAAAGTAATTGTTAAAAGGTAAGGTTGCAATGTTGCACTAGTCCCTTTTTTTGTCTCTATCGGATATTGTCACGTGTTTAATTGCTGCAAGTCAACTCTTCAGTCAGCAAGTACTGCTCCTATCTTACTAGCTCCAATAGGAAAGCCACCAAAGACTCAGAAACAACGTCACTTCAGTCCAAAAAAAATAGCAATCAGGAAAGCATTAACCCCCCTCTCACAGAACAGGGAAATTAAAACATAAAAATCCATCAGAGCTACCTTGCCAAGGAGCATATTTAAAATCCAAAATAGCACCATTCATCAGTGTCTCATATCCCGTGGCAATCTCAATCACTTACCACAAGGAAACAATGCATTACAGTAGTTCTATACATAAAATTTACATGACTTAAAATATGGGGTTACACAGGTCATTTGGAGGTTTCCAACATACAAAGTTATGAACTAGAAAGCTTATTATATTAAAAATAAAATGAAAGGGACTCTCAGCCTTTGCATTATCCTACCATTTAAAACAAGACAGTGCCCTGTAAAAGAAGCAATTCTTTGGTTGTATACTTGCAATGGACTAGTGGAAGACAACACTTTGCTATGGTATTATTAGGCCTGAAGGCCCACCTGTGGTGGTTGTAAACATTGTGTGTTCACAGTGTAAGTTTTTGTGATTCCTGTCAAGATGTAAACTGTAGTTTTCTGGTGACGTTTTCCCATGGTATAATCCGCAAAGTTCAGAGTCCCCTCAAGTTCTTTTATCTAAAACTAAAAAAAACAAAAACGACTACACAAACAAACTCTGAAACTGTGCCACCTCATCAACACCCAAACACCAAGTTAATACATATGGAAGTGTAATGATAGAAGACAGAGGGAATCCATCTTCTTGCAGCAAGATGTGAACCTGCATCAGCTGGAGTCAGGCCCCGGACTTGCATCTTGTTGTTCCCCTTCTTGAAGCCAGCTTTTTTTCGGGTGGTCGATCTAAAGTATTCCCTTTAATGAAAATGCAATGGGGAATTAAATTAATTCAATTAAACAAGAGAATTTCAACCAGCAATGCTCCTGCAAATTGAACATTTGAAACAACTTGAAACTCTCCATCAAAATATTGTACAGCATCAGAAAGTACTGCAAATCCAAATTATGTGAAAATTAATTCTTACTTTCATAGTCATCAGACACAACAATGCCCAAGCTGCTCTAAGAAGAATGACTTAATAATAATCCTTGCATTTGTCACAGCGCTTTATCACATCGTTGAAATGTCTCAAAGTGCTTCACGAGATCTTAATTATACTGCATAATTTTTGCTTTGCGACCACATCACTCCCACCCTCGCTCGCCTCCACTGGCTTCCCACCCCCCAGAAGATCGAATTCAAGATCCTCATCCTCACCTACAAGGCCATTCACGGCCTTGCTCCCTCCTACCTACTATCCCCCTACCTACCTGCCCGTACCCTCCGTTCCTCTGGCTCCGGTCTGTTCCACATCCCCCGCCCCAACCGCCCTACCATCGGTGGCCGGGCCTTCAGCCTCTCAGCCCCTAGGCTCTGGAACTCCATCCCCCAGTGCCTTCGCCTTGCCTCCTCCCTTTCCTCCTTCAAGGCCGGTCTCAAGACCTTTCTCTTTGACCGTGCCTTCAGCTCCCCTCTCAACTCTCTATCCACTCCTCGCTCCCTCCCCTCACCCTGACCATTTCCCCCCTCCTCGCTCCCTCCCTTCCCTCCCCTCACCCTGACCATTTCCCCCCTGCTCGGGTCCTGACCCAACTGTCCAGCGCCTTGGGACGTCCTCCCGACGTGAAAGGCGCTCTATAAATGAAGTCTTGTCGTTGTTGTTGTATAGTGAACATATCACTTAAACTTTATTTCTACACAGCAATGTCCAACCTTATAGTTATATAAAATTTGAAATTGTATTGAAAAAGTAATCCGATAACAAGCCTGTTAGATGCATAGTAGAACAAGAGAGCAAAGGTTCAGATTTGCAAGGGTAATTTCAGGTCAGACATCAGGAAGTGTTTCTTTACCCAGGGGTAATTAAGAACTGTCACAGATTGCCAGGATGTGTGGCTGAGGGCAGGGGGCAGGACTCATTTAAAAAATTGCTTGATGCTTCAATAGGAAGACAGTAGGGTGATTATTCCAAAAGGATGAAATCAACAACAAGAGATCAAATGGACCAAGGGACTATTTTCACCCAAACCCATCTTGTAATAAGTTCATTCGATTCTGTTAAGCTTCCTGGCAAGCCTTGGATACCCTGTGAACAGTTTTATTCAAATACAACCTCTTTGAAAGTAGCAATGTCCTCTATGGATTTTCAGCTGCTCTGGCTCGATCATGAATTTTTCATGACCAGTGCGAGCCCTTTGATCCAATGATAGCAGCAGATACGAGCTCCGAGTCTGCAGGCAAAATTTTCTGCTGCCTGGGTTCACATAAAATAGCCAGTTGTTAGATTTGAAACCTTAACGTTGGAATGTTTTCTTCGCCTGTAGGGCATGACTGTAAACTCTGTACGATTTGCTAGTTTAGGCTCCAGCACAATCCTGTAGAGGCCAACAAATACAGTACACTACGTAGGTACACTACGGTGTGTCTAACAAAACCTGCTGTAGTTACCTAAAAATATTAACCGTAACTACTTGTGACAAATTTTCAGAATTTTTAAAATAAAAAAGTGTATCCAATTATTTAGCTGATTTTTCTTCCCTTTGGTATATTGCTTTTGTTCCTAATTCTCAGCCTCATCACACTGGGGGGCAATCCCAGGGTCACAGGTTGCCATCGGATACCCTACCCAAGTGGTCAAACTCATGTTTGAGCCTTGGTGGTCAGTGTTGGCAGACCACTCATTAACGGAGGCACGGCATTGAAACCTGATCTCTCCCAACCGGATGGGCGCGCGCAAACACACACACACACACACACACAAAACGTACACACTTACGAAGGATGTTGAAGAGTAACCAGGACCAGGAGTCCAGATGGCTTTCTCCAGATACTGGGAAGGCTTGGACCATTTCAGCCTCTCCACAAAGCCTCTGCTGAGATCAATAAAATTAGGAGAGACTGGGAATTGAACTAATAAGCTCCTAGTCCAATGTGCTTCCCACTTTGAGACACACTGACATGGGTTTTACAATCACATCAGAGCTTTAAGTTCACAATTCAGGCTGAATACGGTGCTAGGGGAGCATCACACTGTCATAACTGCCATTCTTCAGATGAGTCATTACACCAAGGTCCGCCTGCCTGTTCAGATCGATGTTAAGCATCTCATGGCTCTATTTAAAAAGCTAAAGCGGTAAAATTGGTCATTCATGTTGTAGCAATTTGTGGGACATTAATGTGTGAAAACTGGCTGCCAGATTTGACTACAAATATTGTCACTTTACAATAAATTCCTGTAAAGTGCTTTTGAGATGTTTCAATAAGCTTCTATATCAAATGCTAGGATTATTATTCAGTCTTAGTCAGTTTATGTAATGTGCGCTCAGTTACTACTGAAAACCTGCACACTGAGGAAGTGTGGAAGTGTATGGAACAGTTTCAATGTCCGAATAATTGCTTCGAAGCGATAAGGTGTCTGAAGATTGTTCAGAATTATAGAAATGTTTTAATTTCTGTCTTAATTTGGAACCTGATTTTCTGTGGCTCTTAAAATGAACTTGTGTCCAAATTAAGACTGAATTGAAATGATTTCCACAATAAGACTTACGTTCCACAATTCTGATCTTACAGGCTAAAACTTTGAGGAATGTTGTGCTTCAGCAGATCTTCAGCAAATGAACCAACCTTGACAAGTCCATTTCTTTCGCTGGTGAATAAATTCATCAGCCAATAGAGCAGAAGATGCCTCTGTCCACTACGATCATTAAATTTGCCAAGGATGAGAGAATTTCGCTCAAAATATAAGAATAGGTGGAGGGGAAATGAATGAGCTGCCTTTTAAAAGGGAGACGATGGGAATTTGTTTTCAAATATTTATGCATATTTAAAAATGAACTTGAAAACCCCTCAAACCCTCTCAACTGTTCCATGTGCTTATGACATCTGCTCTCAAAGACCGTCTGTCCCATGACAATGGTTTCATGGAAAGAAACAAAGAGCATAGTTTAAATCCTTCTAATTTTAGAGGGATCTCGCTCGAAAGTAAAAGGTCTCGGGTTTGATGTTAATTTATGACCCTGTGTAATACTGTGAGAAGATTGCCGAAATCCAGGCTACCATCCAAAAGGCACTGCTTTGCAGCTGAAATCCAGCTGCAATAACATTTTTTTCCTTGCACATTTTCCATTTAAGAAGAGTCTGAAATTCCATATGGTCAGAGATTACTGATGCCTTTATTGGGAGAGCATTACAGCTTGTTACCGCGGTTGGTACACTGCTACTTTTCAGTACTGGGAGGACAAAGATCAGCTTGTCTGGGGTAAGATGAATCTGGAAGAACCTCGTCTCCCACAGTACACACTCCACGTAAGGAAGAGTTATTAACTGAACTGTGGCATTTAACTAAAAAGTTGTGATGGTTCATTGTGCCACAGCATGAAATATCCTTCAAGAGTGTAATTAACAGACTAAAGACATCAGGTGCTAGATATCAGTCTCCACAGTGGAATTTTTATAATTTTGGTTTTAATTTGGTTCATATTTCACTCACAAAATCAAGGGAGGTCAGTGGGTTTTGTGTTACTGTAAACACCAAGCGTGCCAGGTACAGCACAGATGAGATGCAACAGAAAACTTTCCCAACTTCCCTCCAAAGAATTTGACCTGACGGGAGAATGGTGGCAATGCTCTCACATATTTCTCACTAAGCTGTACTGATCATTAAGAAGCTCACTGAGAGTTCCTGGAACCTGCTATCAACCTAGTGAGGGTTCAAACCTGCGCTTGTTGGATGTCAAATGACCAACTAGTGATTCTCCTCTTTGGGAGAAGGTAAGTGGGATCTCCTTGGAGCTGAGCTGCTTCCAAGGTAACATGCTTGGCAACCAAATGTTGGAATCGAGTCAACACTCGGTAGACCAGTTCCTGAATCAGGAGACTCCGTAGTACAGGGCACTGCTGATTACAGTCAGTCTGGTTTATCAGAAGGGTTTAGAATGACAAACCAGTCACTGGGAGCAAGGATTCTTCCTACTAGCCTCTAGTTATCTTGCAAGCTAAAACCTAACAGATAGGGTTGTCCGAGCTGGACATGCTACAGAAAGCTTCTCAATGGCTTCTCCGTGACCCCATCTCTCCCACTCTCGCCCAACTCCATTGGCTCCCTATCCTTCAGAGGATCCAGTCCAAGATCTTGGTCCTCACATACAAAGCTCTCCATGGCCTCACTCCACTCTATCTCTGTGACCTCCTAACCACCTACCAACCCGCCTGTTCCCTCCGCTCAGCCGGTTCTGGCCTGCTCCACATTCCCCGACCCACCCGCCCCACCACTGGTGGGAGAGCCTTCAGCCACTCTGCCCCCAACCTCTGGATTACCAACCCCCGGTCACTCCGCCTCGACCCTCCTTAGCCTTCTTCAAGTCCTGCCTCAAGACCCTCCTCTTCAACCATGCCATCGACCACCCCCCTTCCCCTCCCTACTCCCCCGATCCCAGCTCGGGTCTGAAATGCTGTTCCGTGTCCAGCGCTTTGGGATGTCCTCCTGATGTGAAAGGTGCTATACAAATGTAATCTTGTTGTTGTTGTAAAGGGATTCTTAATTACTTAAGAGAGTCTTATGCACAGTGAGAAACAGAGAATATGGTATTTTAGAAACAGAGACTACTACTGTTTGGATAGATCGCAGAAAAAATATTCAAAGATTACATGGTTAGTGAATGAAAAGAATTGTTGCATTTCAGTCATGTAGGAAACATACATATGAACAAATGAGAAAAAAGTTTGCTTTTTATGCATTCCACTAATACTGAATTTTTAGTTTGATTGGGTAATTAAAGGCAACGGAACTGAAATGCATAACCTGTGTGATTTACAGATATAGATTAAATGTCAATTCTACAAATTCACAGTTAATAGGAGATAAATAAATATAATTCAAGTCCTCAAATGTATGCTTTGGATTCCTTTGTTTGAACACTGCATCTCGCTGGATGGAATTCCAGTCTAGGCATTGTTGCCCTTGAATCGTGCTGTTTCATTATGCTTGGCAACATCTGAGTGAAATACTTCATAGACTCATACAGCACAGAAAGAGGCCATTCGGCCCATCGTGTCTGCACCGGCTCTGAAAAGAGCAATCCAACTCAATCCCACTGGCCCACTTTCTCTCCATAGCCCTGTAATCTTGTCCTTCCCAAATACCCATCTACTTCTCTCTTAAAAGTTGTTATTGAATCAGCTTCCACTACCCTTTCAGGTAATGCATTCCAGATCCAAACAACTCGCTGGGTGAAAAATGTTTTCCTAACCTCCCTTCTGTTTCTTTTAACAACTAACTTAAATCGGTGTCCTTGGGTTACTGACCCACATGCCAATGGAAACAGTTTTTCCTGGTTCAACCTATCAAATCCTCTCATGATCTTAAAAACCTCCATTAAATCCCCTTTTAATCTTCTCTGCTCTGGGGAGAATATTCTTAGTTTCGCTAACCTCTCTTCATAACTAAGGTCCTTCATTCCTGGTACCATTCTGGTAAACCTCCTTTGCACCCTTTCCAGTGCCTTAACATCTTTCCTAAAGTGCAGTGCCTAGAACTGAACGCAGTACTCCAACTGAGGCCTAACCAGCATTTTATAAATATTCAACATAACCTCCTGACTTTTGAATTCTATGGTCAACCTGGTCCGGACGGGCTGCATCCTAGGTTACTGAAGGAAGCAAGGTTGGAAATAGCGGAGGCTCTGGCCACAATCTTTCAATCCTCTTTGGACACAATCCTCTTTCTATGTTGAGCACCTTTTAGTACCTCCATCCGTTGATTTTTATCATATTAAATTTCTGTTCACACGCCTGCGATATTATGGCATTGGTTGCATCGTCTTCTTTTGTGAAGACAGTTGCAAAGTACTTATTTAGTACATCAGCCATGCCCTCTGCCTCAACAAGAAGATTTCCACTAGGGACCCTAATTGGACCCACCCTACCTTTTACTTTTGATATGCTTATAAAATACTTTGAGCCAATCAACTACGCCTCCAAAGTGCGAACAAAAATACAGTCACAGTAAATTCTGTGAAATTCTTTGAGACGCCCCCTGATGTGAACGATATCAAATGCAAGGATCATGTATTTCCTTGTGTGTTTGTTTAGTGGTTTATTAACCTCCCACAAGCATTTCTTACCAAAGGAACACTTCCATCATTGCAGCTGGTCTTCAGCAGTCCTTAAATGACACGAGATGACACCGTGTCAAAGCTTTGCCAGGCCTTGAAGAAAGAAGAAAATGTATTGATCAAAGTGTGTTTTCTGAATCAGATATCAACTTAATGATAAAAGGTTTGCAATGCTACTGATATTTATAAACAATAGGAAAGTACTACAAATTTACAGAAAACACATTTGTTGCAAATGAATGCAAATATCTTAATCTTTACAATAACACTGCAGTATCCCTCTTTTTTTGTCTTCATTGCAGCTAATTCTTATTAACTCCAAATCTGTCCACCCAAATGAATGCCTTTTAAATTACTTAAACTTAACTATTCTTAGTCTCTCCTCTACCCCCAAATGCATAACACAAGCTACCATATTTAGTTTAAGACCTGTGAAATTATAACTTCTATCTATGGAGCTACTTGATGTATGAGCTATCCAGTACCACCTTTCTTTACCAGAAAAGTGAAACAAGTTTATATTTGGTAACTTTATTAGTTCTTAAAGGACACAAATAGAGATGTAACATTTATTTTGCTTTAAACATGTTTGACATTGAAGCATTCAGAGAAAAAGGACTGAAGTGGTGGAATGCAAAAGCACCATTAGGATTAGGCGACCCAGAGCTAAGATGAGTTACAAACCAATTAAGATCATTATATCTATTTCACAGAAGAGGAATCGTTCTTACAGCACTGTCTCTAACCCAATTATGGTCCTGTTAACAGGAAAAATACCACGTTGCTATTTGAAGGCAAGAATACCAGGAGGTGTATCAGTATTTTCCCACTTCACCTTGTGATCTTGGTTTGGGCATATTGTCACAATGTGCTCTTGTAGCCAATATTGAACTTAATGAGTTACCAGCATGGAGCGAATCAACAAAAGAAAAGCCAAAGAAATATGACTCACACTGTGTAGTTGTGGCATACATTCACCTTAAATACACAGAAAATCCTGTAAGGACTTTGAGACATTTTAATGACGTGATAAGGCATTACATCAAATGTAAGAATTATTATTTTATTATTATTATTGCTACTACTACATTGGGCTATGTAAGTCTCTTGGATGATCTCTAGCGCCCAGTGCAACTTGAAGACCTTTTCCACTCTTAGCAACAAAAGTCAGGGTTATGAAACATCTATCCACATAATGTCTGGCTCCATCCTGTCATTGCACCACCCAAGAGAATATAAAAGGACAACCTTTTCCACTGTTGCAGACAGAACATATGGTATGCATCAAACAGGCAAACTTAATCGACACAAATATATAGAGGTGATCTAATATATTGCAATATTATTCTACTAAGTTCCATTATGGTATTCAAAGCACTCAATGACCACATCATACTCAGTGATCTAAGAACAGTGGGAGCCAAATAGGTTGGTTCTGAGAACTTACACAAAGATTTAGCTAGAAATGCACTCTGTGTACTCTATGGTAAGGACATCCACCTGCACAGTTGGTCTGGTACCAAACCAACCCAAAGCAAAGACAGTAAAGCATTTACACCCCAACTACTCTTTTAATAAAGCATCAACGCAATTTATTTGATTTGTTTTCTGAACATCAAATTAATTGGGATATAGTTATGTCCCCCCGATGAAAATGCGCTATACAAATGTAATTGGTTGCTGTAGTAAACATGAGTAAAGAACTCTTTAGCACGCATTTCACAAGGTCACCAGAGAGGCTCAGATGATGAAGCCACTTTGCCCCATTTGACCTCATCAATCCAGAACACCCAACCTACAGTCCTCCCATCATAGCATCAACAAGCTGTTTCTTCAATGAGCCCAGTGTCCTAATCTCCTTTCTGGTAACTGGTTCTAATTGTTAATTGCCCTCTCGGTAAAAGAATTCCTGGTGTTTATCCTGAAACTGCCTTTTGCAACTGTGACCCAGTGCCCTTGTTGTGCTGGCTTGCTATATCTGAAAATATTTTCTGGGTTTATTTTCCTGATCCCATTTAAAATTCAGTACATTTGTTATCCTTGAGAAAGTACATGACTGAAACACCAAGGATTCATTCCCATAACTACCGCAGCCCAGTCATCTGATATAAGCATTACTGACTCAACTGTAAACTTCGGTCAAGCCTGCCTGATTAACAGTAAGGAATACAACAATGTGTAGAATTTTGGAATTTGGCTCAATGTACTACAGCAAATGTATGAGAAAAGTCTTATTTGCACTATAACTAGTCATATTGAGAAGCATGTTACAACAGTAGAACTGTAGGACTCTGATAATTACATGCACTTTTAATCAATTATTCCCATTAAGCACAAATACTAGTTTTATGAATATATTTTAAGTAATTTTGTAGGCTTAAATGTGTCTTTGGAATATTCCTAAGAAGAAGGGAATTGACCCCAGTGTGCTGGCCAACAGTGACTTAGATAAAATTGGTCATTTCACTTCATGACCATTTGTGAGACATCACTGTGTGCAAATTAGGTGCTGCATCCACCTACACAGTCACCACACTTTACAGTAAATCCGGTGAAGTATCTTAAGATGTCCTTCAGACATGCCAAGTCCTGTATCAAGTGTAAGAATTATTATTACATCAGGAACAAGTGACAAATGAAAGAATCTTGGTTGGATCCTGGGTATTAAACATTGATGTGAAGAATAATTGTCCAGTGGTTGCATAAATGCCTTACATTCGAGGAATTCAACCCTTTTCTGTGGGATTGTTCGGTCGGGTGCAGAGAAATCAAGTTTATAAAATAATGCAAGTTTGTTCTTGATACGCTGACAACCCTCAACATGTGAATACCAGCAAGTGAAAAGAAGCCAGTTTCCTTCTCTGAATGTAGCTCAGGCGCTTGAGAAAAATGTATAAATACACCCAATTTACTAAAGTGCCTTGAATGCTTGATCCAGATAAGGCCTTGGCATGGAACAGATTTATACTGTGCCAAGGACCGCCACAACCTCCCTGGCTTCTCTCACTAAACCAACTGGTTCGATTCTCAGCTCTCCTTCCTTCCTCACATCCGGTCATGACCAAGACTGACTTCCTTTACCATTGCATGTCTCCACCCCTACCTCACACCACATGCCGTCATACTCTTATCCACTCTTTCGTCACCTCCCGCCTTGACTTCCGTAATGCCCTTCTTGCTGGTCTCCAAAGGTCCACCATCCATCCACAAGATGCAGCTAATCCCAAATGCCACCATTTGTATCCTTACTCGCACCAAACTCAGCACAGCCATTACTCGAATCTTCAACAACAACAAAATTACATTTGTAACTTGGAGGACGTCCCAAGGTGCTAGACAGTCAGTGTTTCAGACCCGAGCTGGGTGTCGGGATTGGGGAGGGTGGAGAGCAGAGTGGCAGAAGGCCTGCGCACCAGTGGTGAGGCGGGTGAGGTGGGGGGACACGAACCAGGCTGGAGCCCGTTTAGCGGAGTGAGCGGGAGGATGGTAGAGTGTTAGGAGGTGGCAGAGATAGGGGGGAGCAATACCATGGAGGGCTTCGAAGTTAAGGACCAGGATCTTGAATTGTATCCTCTGTGTGATGGGAAGCCAGTGGAGTCGGGCGAGGATGGGGGTAATAGGATCACAGAGCCTGATGCAGGAGAGGACACAGGCTGAAGAGTTCTGGATGATCTGCAGCCTATGGAGGGAGGGGTTGGGGAGGCCGACAAGCAGGGAGTTTGCATAGTCAAGCCTCGATGTTATAAATGGGTGTATGAGGGTTTTGGCGGCCTGTGGTGTGAGACAGTGGCATAGCCAGACAATGTTGTGAAGGTGGGGGAAGGCAGAGCAGATCATGGCGCAGATGTGGAGTAGAAAGGATAGTTGAGGGTCAAACAAGACACCATGGTTCCGGACTGGCTTAGTAAGATGGATTGTGCAACCATGGATGGTGATGCTTTCAGTGCCTGAGGTGTGGAGACGCTGACGGGAGCCAATCAGGAATCCTCGGTCTTGTTGAATTTCAACTGAAGAAAATTAGCTCTAATCCAGGACTTGATGTCTGACAGACAATCTGTCAGGACAGCAGTGGTCCTGGAGTCAAGGGTGGAGGCAGAGAGATAGAGTTGGGTGTCATCCGCATACATGTGGAAGTTGACCCCCTGTCTGCAGATGATATCACCAAGAGGGAGCATATATATATTGGAGAGGAGGGGACCAAGGACAGAACCCTGAGGAATGTCGCATGAGACGATCTAGGGGCTAGAGCAGAAGACGTTTGTGGAGATAAAATGGAGGGGGTTCACCGGGGCTCACTGGCTGCCTGTCTTCAAATGGATTGACTTCAAGGTTCTCACCCTCATGGATAAATCCCTTCACACCCTAGCACCTCTTCAACCATGCTAAGGCCCCCCATGCCCCGTTGTCCATCCGACCTCGCCATTGTGAAGCACTCCAAAATGTTATCCAATGTGAATGAAACTGCATAAATGCAAGATGTTCTAGATGTTTCATCTGCCCATGCTGTCATCTATCAGAAAATGGTTTATTTACTGGTATAACCACTACTCCAAGTGTACAATTAGAAACATAAAAATACAGGAACAGGAGAAAAACATTCAACCCACTGATCCTGTTCCACCAGTTTATTAGATCTTGGCAAACCTTTCTACCAGAGGGAATGAGTGTGCATTATCTATCCTGGCAACTGCTTTCATTATCTTAAATACCTCAATCGAATCATTCCTTTGTCTCTTCTGCCCTCAGGAATATTAACCCAGTCTACCCAGCCTCTAAACAAAGCTAAATCCCTTCAGCTCATGTATTAATCTCGTTAACCATCACTGGAAGCCCTCCAGGGCTGGTATATTGTTTCTAGGATGTGGAGCCCCGACTAAAATAAAGCCTGCACTGAACTTAGTAGTTCATCTCTTGAGACTGCTAGCGAGTACTGTAGTATGGCAATTGTAAATGAAAAAAACTACTAGGTTATATCTGAAACTTTTCATTGTTGCTTGTTCCTATTATTTTTTTTGGGAGGGTCACATCACTTGAATGAGTGACTGCTCAAGAGATTTGGGTTACATTTTGAGCTTCGGTGATTCATTTGCTGC